CCTGGATGCCGATGGAACGCACCTGGATGCCGATGGAACGCACCTGGATGCCGATGGTACGCACCTGGATGCCGATGGTACGCACCTGGATGCCGATGGTACGCACCTGGATGCCGATGGTACGCACCTGGATGCCGATGGCACGCACCTGGATGCCGATGGTACGCACCTGGATGCCGATGGTACGCACCTGGATGCCCGGGTAAGTCTTGTTCTCAGCGGTGCTGCGCACCCCAGGGATGCTGCCCGCCGACCGCCCCTCGCAGATGTAGCGGAAGCGCAGCGCCTTCGCCTGCGGCTGCTCGATGATGCGAACCTGCAGCAACATCATGAATAAATAAAAAACAAAGACTTCATAAAACACGAATAAATATATAACAAAGACTTCATAAGTCATGACTAAATAAATAGCAAACACTTCATAACTCCATCGACGCGCGCACCACAGCCATGGCGCGTGCACCACAGCCATGGCGCGTGCACCACAGCCATGGCGCGTGCACCACAGCCATGGCGCGTGCACCACAGCCATGGTGCGTGCACCACAGCCATGGCGCGTGCACCACAGCCATGGCGCGTGCACCACAGCCATGGTGCGTGCACCACAGCCATGGCACGTGCACCACTTCCTATAGGATAAGTAGCAACATTCTCTAATGAATAACACTCTCGTGGTGAAATCCAATAGCCATTCTCTAAAAAAAACACAAGCCCGGATGAATGTATTAATCAAGGATAAGATTTAAAAAATAACAATAATGATGGTCAATAATCATCGAATAATTAATGTGGAGAATAAAGTCATTTGCACTAAGGCTTTCTGCTTGAGGTGTAGCATGGGGTCGACGGTGGTCAGGATGTAAGTAAACCATTAAAATTATACGAGAGTATTCTAAACAATAATACGAATAAGAGATCATTACATAATAATTTAACTACCTATATAACAGATATTCGTACGTAGGCCTTCTGCTTGAGATGCAGCATGGGGTCGACGGTTGCCACCATCCATTAAAATTATACGAGATTATTCTATTCAATAATACGAATAAGAGATTTATATACAATAATTTAACTATATCAGAGATATTCGTACATAGGCCTTCTGCTTGAGGTGCAGCATGGGGTCGACGGTGGCCAGGGGCCAAGGTGTAGGCTTTAAGTTAGACTCCTTTAAAATTATACGAGAGTATCCTAAACAATAATACTACGAATGAGAGCTCACTACATAATAATATAACTTTATAATAGAGATATTCGTACGTAGGCCTTCTGCTTGAGATGCAGCATGGGGTTGACGGTGGCCAATATGTAGGCTTCAACCATCCATTAGAATCATACGAGAGTATTCTATTCAATAATACGAATAAGATATTATTATACAATAATTTAACTATATAAGAGATATTCGTACGTAGGCCTTCTGCTTGAGGTGCAGCATGGGGTCGACGGTGGTGGTGGCGGTGCTCAGTGTGGAGTAGTCGGCCTCTGAGGGCGCCGAGGCCGCGCCGCCCCCGCCGCCCCCGTTGGTGATGTTGCCGTCCCCGTACATGAGGCCCGTGGCGCCCGTCCCCGTCCCCGCCATGTCGTCCCCGATCACCTCAACTGCACGACACCACCATGCACTCACACAAACAATGGGTATATTGTCCAAATAGTGGCATACTTTCTGAATCCACAGCACGGGCAAAAGGCGGACGTAGCCGAGCAAATGAACCCTTTTGCTGGGCCAAACTGTGTCAGGATGACCCACTCAAGTAAATGCCTCGCTAATTGAAAAATGTTTCATTCATTTCAATGTCAAACTAGAAATGCATTATGGATTCAAAATAAAGTGATTTTCGATCCTAAATTAAGATGGAATAAATGTTCACAGTTCCCATTCTCCAGCTCTGTCATCCCCCAAGCTATGGTCCAGCTCTGTCATCCCCCAAGCTACGGTCCAGCTCTGTCATCCCCCAAGCTACGGTCCAGCTCTGTCATCCCCCAAGCTACGGTCCAGCTCTGTCATCCCCCAAGCAACGGTCCAGCTCTGTCATCCCTCAAGCTACGGTCCAGCTCTGTCATCCCCTAAGACTGGTAGGTACTCTTTTGTTTCGTTACTCTGTAATTTTATGCAGACTAAGAACAGATGAAAAAAAGCTGACCTGGGTCACATCGTGACATAACTCAGTTCACAGACACTGTAAGCTTTGAACATCTTAAATAAATACACACTCAACACAAAACACTTAAACTGACAAAAGAGAAAAAAATAACAACCGAACAATATAAATCAACATAATTCAAATCTAGACGGCAATCATTACAGAAAGTAAAATCTTACGGAAGTCGTGAAAAGCAAGTTCCATGAAGACGTCCTGGTCACGAAAACGACGGTTTAGAGCCATTCCTGCGCTTGTCGAGAGATATTTAGAAGCTAGGTAGATATTAGGGCGCTAGATAAATATTATGGCGCTACTTTGATTTCACGACGCTAGTTATGTGTCATCATTTTAAACAGCTTGCTAGTGAACGGTAAGAGAAAAAGACAAAGGAGGACCAATTTTCCGTTTTCAAACGTGCGAATACTTGGAGTGAGTGCAGTTACACTAGATTATTTCAAAATGAAGACAGTTCGTTGGCTCAGGCGAATATGCATCCATCTGTTCTCAGCACAACATCAAAATAATGCTCACTGAGAACACAATGCAGGACACTGTGAACGAGGCCAGTGCCAAGGATAGTATACCTGAATAGGTGCTGAGAAAATCACGAACTTAATTCCTGTAAAGCCTAACTTTTGCAGCGATAAGATAGCAGTGAGACAATTTTAGAGTGTCCAGCGTGGCGAGATAAGCAAGCATGTAGGCCCATCTTAGATGCAAGCGGTGTTAAGTGGGCTAAGCTGTCACTTCCTCAAGCACATCTGATAAGGATGCCAAAAAAAAAACACAACGAAGAGCTACAGGTGTAGAACCTCGATATCAGCCAAATAAATCGCATGCTATTACTGCGAGTTTAAAAAAACGCGTTAAGAACATTTGCTTCTGAGGTTAAACAGAAAATCCTTACTTCCGGTAGCCGCGATCTGCGGAATCAAGATCAGATCGTTGAGAAGCAAAACTGAAGGGAAAAAATTCCTTGTTGTCATGCTATTAGACAGGCATGATGAACTGAGACGCAGTATAACTGACTACAGAAGCAGGATTTAGCAGGCGTAACTTGCTGGGCAAAAACTCAAACAAAAACTGGTAGCTGGGGCAGGAGTGACGACGAGCGATCGTTCAGGAAGTGACTCCGGGTGCATTCAAAAGTCATGCACAAAATGAGAGCAAGAGGGCAATTATAAATGTTATGTAACAGAAATGTGTAGGTAAATTACGATAGAGCGAGCGCCCCGAGCGCATGGCTCTCGTGTCGGGGCCAGCTAACTTGAGATATAACTCGAGACAAGCTGACAAACGCGGGGACTCACTGACATTGCTGATTCAGTGAGCGCTGACAACCACAAGTTACTTACTGACATCGTTGATGTTGCTTTCAACATGAACAAACGCGGGTACTCACTGACATCATTGATGTTGAGGGTGAGCGCGTTTGCGGGCCGGGGTGTGGCGAACATTGGGTCTGACATCGCAGCCAATGACAACCTGGCAACATCCAACATTGTTTTCAGACATGCCGCCACGCAGGAACATTTTCCTTACTAAGTAGGCTCAAATCTAATGAAACTTAATGGTCAAGGTTATAGACATATTTGCAAGCATTAGTCTTAACACTAACCTAGTGAACTGTTATAGCCAAATTGATTGAAGTGACCATGCGGCACTATTGACCACAGCAGTGCTCCAGCTGACCAACCCTTCCAGTGCTTGTTTACAAGGACAGTAGTGACGGACAGTAAGACTTTCAACATGCAAACTGCAACTAATTATCCTGCTACTGCACTTGTGTAAGGAGTTACTGGGTTCTTCCGTGGCCAATAGTGCTGCATATGGGGGCTATCAGCAAGTTAAAAAAAATGCAACTAACACTTTATAGATGTAAGTAAAAAAGGCAGCTAATACTTGAAAGATGTAAGTAAAAAAGGCAGCTAATACTTGAAAGATGTAGGTAAAAAAGGCAGCTAATACTTGAAAGATGCAAGTAAAAAAGGGCAGCTAATACTTGAAATATGTAAGTAAAAAAGGCAGCTAATACTTGAAATATGTAAGTAAAAAAGGCAACTAATACTTGAAATATGTAAGTAAAAAAGGCAGCTAATACTTGAAAGATGTAAGTAAAAAATGCAGCTAATACTTGAAATATGTAGGTACTATCTGCTACTACTGTCCCAGTTCTAGCCACACTTGTCTCACCAGTGTCTTCAAACGACGTGTAGTTCCCAATGCATCGTTAGCACTCAGACTGTGTAGTGTTATTTCATCTCATGAGAAAGTTGTTACTATCCACCTCCTCAATGTTGGACATTGAGCAGTAGAATCTAAAGTTGAGATTCTAGTTTGCTCTGCTCCAGTTGGAAATTTTGATGCTCTGATGTTTACTTTTCGATTACACGATATCACTAAATTTTCTAACCTCAATTCAGAACTGAGTAAGTATATAAATGTATGTACATATAATATATATGAAATAATGTGTAAGGTTTTATGCACTGGAAGGCTCCTCCTTTTCTTAATTAATATGTACAATATAAATCTAATAATGCACAAAAGTTCAAACTTTGGTGAGGCTGCAAATAGTTTAATCTGAAAAAAAAACAAGAGACTAGTTAAATCTAACATGAAAATTTTGTAAACTGGTTACATTAATAAATGGTTTGCATCAAACAAAAATGTGATAATTATACCTACCTGCTAAAATTAAACATGTTTAAATGGAACTTTTTTGCATGGCAGTGCAAACTAACACATTCAATACAAGTAAGAACTCATTTGCAGGGGTTGCTTGTGCAGCAACCTCAGGAGTAAATACACGAGGTTCAGTCCTGCAGCCAGCCTACACCCCCATCAATTATGGTCATTTTTAGCGCATTTTCTCATTTATAGAAAAAATGCACTACTGTGCTCGCCAAGTCTGTCCGTCCGTCCGTGACCTCAAGTTTTCGTCGACGAGAAAATGCGCTCTCTGTCACTCACTGCAGTGAGTACACTGTTAGAAAAATTACCGTTAACGGTATTATACCGGCGTTTCAGTGGCCGGTCAGCATGTGAAAGAAACACCGTGTCGCCGTTTTTATTCTAATTTAACGCTAGAAATCTGTAAAACATCTGATAAAAACGGCGAAACAGTTTATTTTCACGGGGCCACCGGCCCCTAGAACGCCAGTGGGACCGTTTTTTTAACGTTTTTTTCTAACAGTGTACTGAGTTATATTTTTATTCCTATTGCTTACAGGAAACATTAATAAATGGACCAATAGCCAGGAACCAATAGATTTTGCAATAAAATCAATAAGTTTTCTGATATTAAGAAATGTTCTTGAGAATATTCATCTTCTTTACCCTACCAAGGTTTAGAATTTAAATGTTTTCTTTGGGTCTGCAGCTTGGACCATTCAGAACTTGGGCAATAACCTGAATAAGCCAATCAAATAATAAGTTAAATGAAATTGAAAATAAATAATAAGAATTTCCAGCAAGCTACAGATTTGAGGCTTGTCATTAGTTGTAAGCAGTTTTTATAATCGATGCATAGCATTCATTACCTTCAATATATAAGCCTGGAGGATATTCAGTATTTTTAATAAGGATCACAATTTTTTTCACAAATTCTTTGTTCAACATGTGTACCTATATATATAAATGTGAACAGGAACAAATAATCAGAATTATCTCTAAAAAATCAAGCATGTACTAGTAATCCTCATTAAAATGGTAGTAAATATTTCAAATACTAGCATCTTATTGTAATAATAGTGCCATAATAGTACCATAACTGCTTAACGGAGCAACTTGGCCAAAATAAATTCTATTTATGGATGGATCATTTTAAAACTTGGTACACACATGTAAAACAGAAATCTGATACTTTTTTGTTCCTGTAGTGTAGATTTTTTGAAAAATGGAAGAAAACATGAAATTCACATGAAAACATAAAAAATATGAAAACGTCAGAAGAGAAGGTACAGTAAAAATAAAAAATGTCAAAATTTTTTATTTTCGGCCAAAACTCTCCCCTTAAAGTGAATTCAAAATCTTAAAATAATCAAGCAAACAGTATGATTGAGGCTAATATTTGATAATGTCATTTAAAAGACTTTTCACCACCTAAGCATCAACTGAAACATGTTACTTCTAAGGGTTTACTTGGAAGATGTCTTACAAGCAGCAGTGAACCAGTGATACAAATGGGTTACTTAGTTACTAGCAGTAGGTAGCAGGGTAGCCTAATATAACTCAGTCTTAATTATCCCTGTAATTTTAGATTACAATTATCATAAATTCCATCATTCCTGCTGTCCCCAATCCTATTAATAATAATAAGGCTTATTTATGCTAATTAAATGGAGACTCATTCACATACACATTTTTTTCTGGAGCATGGACTTTCATTTGACTCATTTCAACTATGAAAAACTGTTCTGCACTCTTCAAATGAAATCTATAAAATTCAATAAATGAAAACTATTAATATGAAAACTATAATACCTACATCAACAGAATGAATTGTGTTGACAGTGTTAAAAAAAGCACCCAATGAACTAGGGTAAACGCGGTATATTCTGACATCGTGGGTAATTCCGACACCTCTCGACTTTTTTCCTTTATATTAAGCTTTTTCTTAGTTCCATGCATTTGTTGATGGTTGAAATAGTGACGTCAAACTTTTGTGCGCCATACTATTACCAAAACACTAGGTCTGGGCCGTTTGGCGGGAAAATGTTGAGATCCAAAGAGAGGCAGTGCGCGTCACTCAATGAGAACATCGAAAAATGTGTCAAAGTTGATAGTTGACCTTGCTCTACCAAAAGTGATAAACTGTTAGCAGGGTGCGTACCGATATCGAGAAAAAAATTCCAGGACTTTTCCAGGACTCTCCATGATTATCAGTATAATTTTCCAGGAGTATTATACGACAGGTTTAGCATGACTGAAAGAGTAACCGTGCATATTCTATCATCTCCTAAAGTTGATAACTAGCAAACGTGTAAATGCATTGAGTGGGCAGACACAGAGGATCAAAAATGACACAAATCTGGAAATCAAGCCCACACTTTTATTATTATGAATTCAATAGTGTCAAATCACAACAAATATTGTGTCATGATTTCCTTGTTGAACGAAAACCCTCTTTCAACAGTGGCTTGGTCATGAGACAGGAGCATGAGCATCTGCACTACATTCCAGAGCTTCTTGTAGGTGCTTTTTGACAGGATGGCATGCCAAAAAGTGTCCAGTCAATCAGAAGTTGAAAATGCTTGAAACTGTGCATTCAGTTCACTGCAATGTTGTGATTTATCTCTAAAGTTGCACATCTCATCCACAACACCATCCACACCTGTGTTAGGGAATCTCTTGGCGTCAACAAGCAAATTGAGACAGGTCTTCAACTGCGTCTTGTTGGTTTCCTTACAGTCCTTCTTCCCGCTCGGCTACTCAAGCTTCGCGCTCCGCTAATGCGTTTCATTTCATGCAGTTCTTTTAATGGTGGGCAACGAAGTCACAGACAATGAGATAAAAAAACTATAGGAACAAAGAAACTTTGATAGAAACTAGCGATGAGGATGCAGGTGCACCAGTGCTGAAGTTGCACATGCACCAGCGATATCTCAGGCACACGCACACGTGAATGTCTTACAGTCTCCTCCCAATGGGTAACATAGACACAAGTTTGAGTGGTCGGAGTTGTCGTACATGGAGATGGCTCTGCTTGAGGCCAGAAATTTGGTCCTTTCATTCTCATAATTTTCAAAAATGGACTCGAGTTCATAATTGTGCGTTTGAAGACTGCATTTTATAGGAAACAATCTATATTAATGCCTGGTAAAATAATCGCAGTGTATGTAAAATAGAAGACACCTAAATAATACTTAACAAAATTAAGGGCAGATATCATTTGCACCAGAGGTTGTAGCGTGACACGACAACCAATGACGATTAGGGTTTAACACACGCAGCACAGAAAAATACTTCATTTTTATTTATTTGCAAATTCCAGTATTTTCCATAATCTGAAATGAAATTCCAGTACTTTCCAGGACTGGAAAATGAAAAATCAAATTTCAGGACTTTCCAGATTTTCCACGATCGGTACGCACCCTGTGTTAGTGTAGAAATAATATAATGGTTTGAGACTTATAAATACATCAGTGAATATATTAGGAATCCTTTCAGTATACTTTTTTTTTGCTTATTTCAAGTGGTAAAAAAATTAATAGGTGATTAAGTTAAGAGACGGTTTTAGACACATAAAAACTAATTCCGACACAGCTTGGAATTAGACACACACAGCTCGTTCCAAGCTGTGTGCAAAAATTAAAATTTTCCTAATAAAAAGCTATACCTATAGGCCTAGCTCTTACTTAAAAGCCTAATTAAGTAGTGTTCAATATTCAATAGTGTTCTAATTGCAAGCTGTCGTATTCCAATACAGCTCACACAGCAAACGGAATTCGAACACAAGAGTGTCGGCATTACAAATTAGTAGAGTTTGAAGCGTGGCCAGAATTAGTCTCACGAGGTGCCAAATTTAGTCACACACAGTGTCGCAATATATGGATTTGGTAGGTTTGCATTCTAAAGTCTTTTAAATAAATATGGCAACATTTTGTGACATTTCATTGTTGCTGAAGCGTAGTGCGGTGTTTTTAGAGTGATGTAAAGCAAACAGAACTCAACTACTCAAGTTGCGTGCACGGTATATTTTTTATAACCATTCATATTTTGCTACGTCCTAAAAGTGTCGACTGTGTCGGAATATACCACGTTTACCCTACTTATAAGCACAATCCACAAACAGCCCATGATCGGCGACATGTCTATCCAGCAATCCAGGCCCCACTGTGCAGAGAGTAAGCAAAAAATCAGTAGCAAAATTTATGCCTTCAGAAGATCTTGCCGACACATTTAGATTGAAATTCTTGCATTTAACATATTTGTCAGTCTTTGGCCAAGGGCGGGCCAACTATTTGAAAAAGTAAGGTTTCCGGTATGTTGGATTGATCAGTATGCAGTGAAGCTTGTCCGGAAATCAGTTGCGATGAGTTCCCACCAAAAAATGTAAACATCAAGTTTACGATTACGTAGGTATTTGCAGTCACATTAGAGTGGTCAGACTGCATTATCACATGTTCAGTTGACACTTGCTGTACAATCAGCTGAATCAGGCTGTTTTTAGGGTAAAATTAGTTATTCGGATTAACACGTGCATGCAACATTGTAAATAAGTTTGTGGCTTGTAAATAGTTTTTCATTACTCAGCGTAAATGACTTTTCATTAAAAATTACCTGGTGACGCATCTTAAAATTACCTGGCGACGCTTAGGGCTTAAAAACCCATATATTGGCGACGCTGCATCTACCCTCTGCACCACGGTCCAGGCCTATTCTTTAATGCCAAAGATACTATACAATGTATACATGAATGGGACTGGGAGGTAGGGTAGGCGTAGGTACCCATGAAATTGAATAGAACTTATACAACCATTGTCATTTTTCTCTCAATCACAGGCTAAAAAAATCGGTATTATTGCAGATTAACTACATCCAAAAAAAAGGGTGTTTTTTTTTTTTAATTATATGTTTTTTGGGGTGTAGATTACGAATCTGAAATCCATTTTTGGCGGTCGGCATCGGAAAACCGATTTTTTGCAATAATACCGATCACACGTAGCGCACGTGGAGCATGGACTTTCATTTGACTCATTTCAACTATGAAAAACTGTTCTGCACTCTTCAAATGAAATCTATAAAATTCAATAAATGAAAACTATTAGGCTATTATGTTTATGAAAACTATAATACATCAACAGAATCAAGAATGAATTGTGTTGAAAAAGCACCCATCCACCCAATGAAATAGGTACTTATGACTGAGTTATGAGTTATGACTTATGAGCACAATGCACAAACAGCCCATGAATATTGAATAGGCTAACTTAGTTACATAAATGGGAGGTATTAGGTAGGTTACTGTAGGTACCCATGAAATTGAATAGAACTTATACAAGCATTGTCATTTTTCTCTCAATCACAGGCTAAAAAAACCGCTCAATTGCAATATTTGGCACTGTCATGACTATGAGTATGAGTGACAATCATATTAGTGGCAAAGCAGAGAGTTTTTTAGACTCTCCATCAAGTTCATTTTTGAGTCCTATATGTAGACCAGTAAAGTATCCTGGATACCAGCATTATCATACTTAAGAAATTGGTTTACTGACAATCACAATCACTCAGAGTCTCAGACTGTGGCACTGTGCTATGTGCATTTTCAACAGTAGTCCAAAGCTGACTGATAGTATTCTAGTACTCAAGTACTGAATGATTGAAGAAAAAAAAACAATCAAAAAGAGATGGAATCCTACACTCCTTTCCAAGCAGGAAAGGAGTGTAGGTAGGACATTTGCCGATGATTTGTGTGCAACTTGAAAAAAAAAATCATCAAAATCTAGTAACTTGCAGTTGCATATATACTTATTTATTCGCACAAAATTAAAAGTCACAATTTAAAACTTCATGTATGGTCGATAAGCGCTAGGAGTGTAATTTGCATCAAAATAAGCAGCATAGGCTACGCTTAAGAGATATTCGTTTAATCGTTATATTTCGTAAACCTACCAGCGCTACAACCAAAACAGTTCACTCAGCGAAAGTGCCATAACCATACTCGATCATCTCTGTATGCTCACTGTATTTTGGTGCCAGTGACTAAACTAAAATTCCAAAAATATCACACATCAAATATAGATGAGACGTGAGAATTGTTCGAAAAGATACCTCAACATTTCTCATAATGAACTATTATAATAAGTGTTCCAGGTGATATTTATTACAATAAAATAAGACTTTACGAAAGTTTAATGTAGTGTTATTTTAGAATACTGTGATTGACGTAATTGGCAACGAGCGAAGTGCAGCCTCAAGCTGGCTCTACCTGTTGTACGTATCAACCAGTGCTCACAGGATTCAAGGTCATTTTCATCTACCAAAGCAGAGAGAATGAAAAGTTCCATTTAACGTGCGTCAAATCAAAAAGTGAAGAGTACGAGTATAATTCATATAATTAAAAATATATTTTATACTTTGATTGTACTACATTCAGTTTGAGACGTAGAATACAACTACATCCCTATGACATGAAATGCCACTTATATCATATCATAGTGATTAGTGATGCCGGCGCTGAATAATAAGCCTGATGTGGCCTGTCGCCAATTCTTATACGGCTCGTGACACAGGAGATCTAGAAACAGGTCCCTTGACCGGATCTTTTCAAACTGACAATAGTTTGAAATAGCTAGAAGACTTCCACCCCGTTGGATATGGTGCTAGGCATTTCAAGACTGAACACATATTTCTCCATACATTTATCTGGTCTGTTCTTGAACGCATTCATACTCGGAGCGTCAACAATGTAATCGTGCTGGCTGTTCTACATCAGTACATGTCGGTGATTCGAAGCGAGAAGAAATGTTGTAGCGTGGATGAGTTACAACGCAGTTTTTTTTACTTTATAGCCGTGGCCCCTGGTGTTGGTTCTTGTTACAAATTCTAGTAATCTTTCTGGGACCTTGTATAAACAATGAGTATACTTGTATACTTCAATGAGGTCCCCACGCAGACTTCGATAACTGAGACTTGGCAGCTTCATAAGCTTTAATATTTATTCATAGGACGTACAATTTAAACAGGGAATTATCCGCGTTGCTCATCTTTCAACACTCTCTTTAAATTTTTGTCCTTTTCAAGTCTCTGTGACCACACAACGTTTCCAAACTCAAAGTTCGGGCGCACGACAGCATCAAAAATCTGCTTTATCACTTCTCCATCTAGGAACTTGTAAGAGCTTCTGATCAGCCCAAAAAGTTTGTTGGATTTATTATCTTGCGTTTCTGCTTGCTTAGAAAATTTCAGCTCCTTGTCGACACAAACTTCCAAATGTTTTTCCACACTAGGCTATTCAATCATCACCCTCTCGTTGCAACCACCATGAACCATGTCTTCTCATATTGTAATCTTGCATTTCATTGTTCTTACCGAGGTGAAGTGAAGTAGCAAACTGAACCAAACTATTAAGATGATCTTGCAATTGCACTTTATTTGACGCATCCTTAACTGTATTATAAACTTTTGTATCGTTGGCATACACAGAGCACACGCTTGACACTACCGGTACTTCTGACAGATGGTTTATAAAAGTAACGAACAAAATAGGCCTAGAAACGCTTTTTTGTGTCACGCCACTGCGCACTGTTGCCCAGTCAACAGGCCATGTGCCTATTTCTTCAATGCCGACACTTCTATTCTATTCAGTCTGATACGGTTCCGTTAATACTGACACGTTGTCGTCTACCTACTAGAAAATTTCTGATTCATTGGAGTACATTCCCTTCTATTCACAAAGACTTCACATTAAGCAACAGGCCAACAGCCGCTCATACAAAACACTGTCAATTGCTTTGGAAAAATCGAGGTACAATGCATCCACTGGATCGCTGTCGTCCAGCTGGCGAGTCCAATCGTTCATCATAGACAGGAGGTTAGCATTAGCTTGCAAACTCGTGAGACTGACAGGGCGATAGTTACCGGTGCAACTCTTATCACCTTGTTCAAACAATGGGGTCACTTGAGCCTCTTCTTTCACTTAGCAGAAAAAATCAGCGCAGACATGTATCGATAATTTTAATTAATTTTGATTGCGTATTGAATTGGGGCGTGGACTGGCTGAATGTGCTATGGCTCAGTTGGTAGGAAAGGCTCCGGTGGTCGGATACAAAAGGAAAAGTTGCCAGAAAAACTAGACAGAGATAAGTGAGACAAGTAAATGCGGTGCCGGTTTAAGTAGAAAGCTCAGTTTAGAGGACGAGACTTCAATACTCAGTGTACTGGAATTTAGGGCAATCTAATACCATAGTTTAACTAATAATAATTAATAACTTCAACATAGGGGCTGATGCGACGCGCATCAAATATACTTATTAGGCTGGAATTCTAGGATAGTGCATAAAGCTTGTCATTTATGAGCGGATGCATTTCCATCTCCAGATTGTGAATGGTTGTGTCCAATATGTTCTGTGTTCTGGTTAATTTAATACTTTATTAACTACTAGGGTTTAAAATTTATTCTTAGTGGGACAATATTAAATCATGGCAGAACTGAGAGTAAAGGATTGGCCCCAGAATTGAGACTTAATTTTTAAATCAGTTTCTTTAAATTATATTTAAAAGGCGCGCAGGGGACAACCTTCCAGCAGAGACGTATTCAGAAGCGTTCATCACCGCCGATGCCATCGTGCTGGACCATCAGGGAAATTATAAGCTTTGTCTGGAAATTTCATAGCAAATATAATTTGATTATACAATTAGTACTAACATTACGTACATTGTAATCTTAGTGCAGTTACTGTAGTCAATATAAGAATTTACTATATGCATATTCACTTCTAATGCAGATAAACGTAATTCATGTTCTCAGCACTTTCTGTTCGTAAGTAAATATGAAAGACTTTCTTTTGACTGCGGCGTGTGAATTATACATGAGCAACACCTCGAGGACGCTAGTCTAGGATGCAATAAAACTACCTCGAGGACGCTAGCTTAGAAAAACCTAATTCTAAGTCCATATAACAAAATTTTAAAGAAGTTAGAAAGCTGTAACGCAGCTGCAGAGTAAAATATATTTGATAGAGTAGATTTAGAAGTAGAGTAGCAGAATTTATAGAGAATTAACTCATAAAAAGCACGGTTCATTTCAACAATGGTAAGATTTCCTGAAGCAGTTTCTTCTTGTTGACCTTGCCCATGTTGTTGCGCGGCAGCTCCTCGAGGATGACGTATTTGACAGGAACCTGGTACGCGGGAAGCCTCTCCTTCAGCCACTTTTTCAGGAGCGCCGTGTCTAGGGGCGACGCTCCCGTCCGTACCAACACCGCGCAGATCTGAAATAAAACATTATCACCATCAAACTTGCTGTGTATTTTTGACATTTTATGGTAGAAAATATTTTGTGAATGTTTGCCAATAGTTGTCCACGACATTTGGTATTAGAATAACCTGCAGTTACAATAAGAAATTACTACTTGATGAACTAAGAGTATTTGCTCGATGTCATTACCTTTGGTAACGACATGATGTTCCCAACACACAACAATCAAACAACTTCAAATACAGCCCTCACACAGCCCTCACACAGCCCTCTAATCGTGACATGTTTTACGAAATGACTAAGGAGAAATATCGTCGTTTCCCTCATTTTAAACAAACTTTCTAGTTACCGTTTCCGATATGAGTAATTCCCGCAATACGAGTCATAAAAAACTTTCACCTCCCGCCCCACGTGAGTTCCTCTCTTCATTTAACAGCCAATATGCCCCACCTTCTGCCTCCACGAGAGCTGGTCCCTTCATTAATTCCTATAGGTTCTTACTTTCTGCCCCCACTGGAGGTGACCCTCTCATTAACTACTACAGGTTCTTACTTTCTGCCCCCACGAGAGGTGACACCCTCATTAACTCTATAGGTTCTTACTTTCTGCCCCCACTGGAGGTGACCCTCTCATTCATAGGTTCTTACTTTCTGGCCCCACTGGAGGTGACCCTCTCATTAACTCTTACAGGTTCTTACTTTCTGCCCCCACTGGAGGTGACCCTCTCATTCATAGGTTCTTACTTTCTGCCCCCACGTTGGGTCGGGGGCACCCACGACAGCAACGTCAGCCACGTCAGGATGCATCAGCAAGACGCGCTCGACGCCCAGCGCCGACACCTTGAAGCCGCCGCTCTTGATGATGTCGACGCTCGTGCGACCCAGGATCTTGTAGGCGCCATCTTGGTACACGGCCGTGTCACCTGATGAATGTAATGATGAATATGAATGACCTCAGCCCCAGAATAAGTAGAGATATACGCGGCACCAGTACGAGGCACAGAAGTCCCACATTTTCTTGACCGTAGCTCTCATAAACTAACTTCCTAATTAATGGATCAATCTCTCTGAAACTTTGTACACATACGTAAAACACTCATGATAGAATATTTAAGGCTTCAAGTAGTTTGAATTTTTGGCTTAATTTGAGAATAAACGTGCAAATTTGATGACAACTGTCAAAAGGAGGGTCTTAAGAAACAGTTTCGCAGTTAAAACGTAAAAATTAGCACTATATACGTGAACATACACCTATCATAGAACATACGCCTATCGACTCTCGAGACACCTATTTTGAATTATAATTTTTTTCTTTTTCATGTTTTACCCCTTTTTGCCCTTCCATAACACCATAACGTTAAGGCATATGAAATCTTTACTAATCGCACCACAGTGTTTAAGAAAAGACTAGTCCAGACATATATCACATTATTCTTTAGTTCAGTTAATTGTATTACAAGCTTCATTAAACTGAATTTCTCCGAAACAAATAATTTTATACATGATAATTGTCCGAAAAAAGCTACAAAAAAAAATGGAAAACATAAAAGGTTGATTCCGTCAAGAATAATGACAACCTTGATAAGACGAATCTATAGCGGCCTCCAATGTTAAACTTGGTTATAATTAATTAAATCTACAAATTTTCTAATAAAATCAATCCTTTCGCAAACATCCGAACTACCTCTAAATTAATTTTTCTCTCTTCGTAAGTTGAGTTAACTGTAACCTCACTACAGCCTTGTCCACCAACGTTTGGGGTAAGCCCTTAAATAGCTTCTAAATTGTTCCTCAAACTTGTAATACTATTTCCTTGTATATTGATTGCACCTAATAAGGACTACATCTTAATTCGAATTGTTTATATCACTTGTTTGCTTAAATCGCAAATTAACTAAGAATTTAAAAGCAAAGTCCACAAAAATTCATATTTTTATAGAAGACGTTTCTATAGAACCGTTTTCTATAAAGATATGAATTTTTGTGGACTTTTCTTTGCTTTTAAATTCTTAGTTAATTCGAATTGTATTTCATTCATTATACAGGTGCAACTTACTGATATCTACACTTGAATACACTTTCCTAACACTCCTCTCTCTCGATTAGTTATCGTTTAAATCCCTCTTCGCGTTTAACTTAATTAGCTTATAGCGGTGCTGAACCAATTTACAGCTGTAGATCATTACTAATTATTATACTAAAAATGTCCTTATATTTCCTAAATATATAATCTTATCAAAATAATTCCCCATTAAATGAGATATTATGACAGATTTATATAAGAAAGAGAATCAGACGGGGCATGATTAATACTATTTATTATACTAAAAATTTTCTGCTAAATTATATTAGCTTATCAAAATAATTCCCCATTAACTGAGATATTATGACAGATTTATTTAAGAAAGAAAATGATGAAGCCAGCACCATGCCCTCGGCGCCCGGCGTGACGACGCTAGCCGTCTCGTCGCCCTCGCACAGCACGCGGCCTCCTGACACGATGCGCACCCTCACCCCCGGCAGCGGGGTGCCCACGTACCCTGTCATCATGGGCATGGTTAGGGCATCGTGGGCATGGTTAGGGCATCATGGGCATGGTTAGGGCGTCATAGAGGCATGGTTAGGGCATCATAGAGGCATGGTTAGGGCGTCATAGAGGCATGGTTAGGGCGTCATAGAGGCATGGTTACGGCGTCATAGAGGCATGGTTAGGGCGTCATAGAGGCATGGTTAGGGCGTCATAGAGGCATGGTTAGGGCATCATAGAGGCATGGTTAGGGCGTCATAGAGGCATGGTTACGGCGTCATAGAGGCATGGTTAGGGCNAGGCCTGCGTGTCCCCACCACTCACCAGGCCTGCGTGTCCCCACCACTCACCAGGCCTGCGTGTCCCCACCACTCACCAGGCCTCCGTGTCCCCACCACTCACCAGGCCTCCGTGTTCCCACCAGGGGGTTGGTGAGGGCCATGCCGATCTCCGTCATGCCGTATCGCTCGAGGAGTGTCACTCCCGTGGCGCGCTGCCACTCCTCCAGCAGCGACTCCGGCAGTGCCGCCGAGCCACTCACCATCAGCCTGTAACAACTCCATCACGTCACATCACAATTCTTCCTACCTCGGAACCTACACTTGAGTGTTGTTTAATAATGACATAATTATACTCATAACACAATTTTCCCTCACACGCAGCATCGTCAAACGCTTCCCTCTTGAAAATTTCTCGCTTACACAGCTTCTCCGCCTATGCATCCCCACAAGCTCCCCTTGTTGTTGTAATTGCCCGTCCTGGTAGTGGCGACTAGGGAGGGGGGTGATAGGTCAGTTTTTCCGGGCACTCGGTACCACTGGTAGTTCTACGACCATCACTGGCTCACTGACCCGTCAGAACCATTTTATTGCATTACACAACACCCTGGACAAGCCAGGTACTCATTTATCAACCAGAGTACACAAGTTCCCCTTCCCTGGGCAGGGTGGCCCAGTGGTTAAAGTTCAGAGTACCAAGATTGGCGCAGAGAGGCGCGGGTTTGATCCCAGCTCTGTGCGCCAGTTTCTGGTCAGAATCGGCGAGGAGGCCGGGCGGTTAAGCACAGCAGAATTGTAGCAGCGAGTTGCGAGTTCGAGACCGCAAAATGCTGTGAATGTTCTGCGATGTTAAGAATCGGCGACAGGCCCACGGCCTAATAAACGCTGAAACCGCTATATATATTCCCTCCTCACACGCTCCCTTTGGAAGGTTCACCAGAGTAGCTCACCTGAAGTTCTGGACGCACGTGGCACGCACATACGTGCGCTTGTGCTGCGACTGCGCATAGTTTTGTCTGTAGTGAGCGAGCAGCTTCGCGTACATCGTGGGCACGGCCATGAACACGTTCACGGCACTGTCATGTGATGCCACCACGTCACCGGCGTCGTGCTCTGCGTCGTCACCACCCAGCAACAGCGACCACACGTGACAAGGCCGGAAGGTCGTCATTACCACCCTGCGGTACGTTAAAACGTTACGTCATCACCGTACGGCCGTTAAAACGTTACGTCACCACCCTGCGGTACGGCCGTTAAAACGTTACGTCATCACCACCCTGCGGTACGGCCGTTAAAACGTTACGTCATCACCCTGCGGTACGGCCGTTAAAACGTTACGTCATCACCACCCTGCGGTATGGCCGTTAAAACGTTACGTCATCACCACCCTGCCGTACGGCCGTTAAAACGTTACGTCATCACCACCCTGCTGTACGGCCGTTAAAACGTTACGTCATCACCACTCTGCGGTACAGCCGTTAAAACGTCACGTCATCACCACCCTGCTGTACGGCCGTTAAAACGTTACGTCATCGACGGTGAAAACAAACCAAAACAAACTTTGGCTTGTTTTGGTTTGGTTAGTGAAAAACTTTATTTTGTTGGTGAAAACAAAAAAATTTACTTATGTTACACTCATGTTGATAAAAAAAATTGATCAACATAAATGATCAACAAAATATATATCAACAATAAGAATCAACAGAATAGCGTTCACCATAAGTGATTAACGAAAATTTGATCAACATAAGTTGTGCGATATGCCAACTCGGCCTGTTCTTCAACGCCGATATTGCTAAGTTATGTTATGAATAACAAAATTGGTATAAAATATTAATAATTCACTATAATCAGCAATTTCAAGTAATTGCCTCGGCCTGTTCTTCAACGCCGATATTGCTAAATTATATAATAAATAACAAAATTGGTACAAAAATATTAATAATTCACTATAATCAGCAATTTTAGGTAATTGCTGAGCACCACAAGCTACCTTGCCCCCACGAGGAGGGGTGTGAGGAGTGCGTTGATGATGCCGTGAGTGTGGTGCAGAGGGAGACAGTGCAGTACCACATCGCTGTGATGGTACTGCCACGCAGCCACCAGCGACTCCATCTGAGCCCTCAGGTTGCCGTGAGTCAGCACTACGCCTGCCAGGTCAATCATTATTAATTATAGGGCCTTTATTTAAAATAAAATTGCTTAAATTCCTGCTTCCGTAGAGTAAAACAGCTGACTGAGCTGAGTTTGATCCTACGGACAACCTCTATCAGCTAACAGAGGTATCATCTGCTCCGGTATCATCATCTGCTGCCGGAAAAAATCGTCAGTTAACTAACTTACCTTTCATTGCCTCGCCTAAAATGGACTCACCTGTTATTGACTCATGTTTAACTGACTCACCTTCAACTAACCCGCCTTTCACTGCCGTGTGAACGATGATGATCGTTCACTATTAGCAGCATTCGTTATTTATGTAGCGTGCATATTTTTTGTTGTAGTACGTAACCGTGTGTATTTAGTGCAGCCACGTCTGGCGTAGCCGCCTTAGTAACATTAATATCGAACCGTACTTCAGCGACGTAGTACAAGATCAGGTCTGAGTGGCTGAGAGTCGGTTAGTCAGTTGTGTTGTATCCCGCCAGCCCTACAGTGAGTATATAACTTTTACGCACTCTGCTCTTCTGACTACCGATACTGTACCTTACCGCTATAACTCGTGGCTGTGCTTTAGAAACTTCGTCATCTGAGTAATGATATGAATGTCTGTTTCACTGGTTTTTCTAAATTTTAAACTTGCATTTCTTTTTAAACTGATCATTACTGAAATAAAATTACGTTTTATCCACGTGAACTGACGTTTAATGAACTGAAACCCAGTGCAATATAAATCCAGTGACAGATGCTGTATTCAGATTGGTCGTCGTACGACAAGATAATTACCGGCGTTAGGTCGTAGAGCTCGTGCCTGCTGACATGCTGAAAAGTGCGGCGAACGTCTCTGCGGTACGGCCGTTAAAACGTTACGTCATCACCACCCTGCGGTACGGCCGTTAAAACGTCACGTCATCACCACCCTGCGGTACGGCCGTTAAAGCAAACAAAATGTTCCTCAACTTACACCCATGTTTATAAAAATATTGATCAACAAAATATATATCAACAGAAAGAATCAACAGAATAGCGTTCACCATAAATGATCAACGAAAATTTCATCAACATAAGTAATGCGATATGCCAACTCGGACTCAACACCGATATTGCTAACTTATATTATGAATAACAAAATAGGTATAAAAATATTAATAATTCACTAAGATAAACAATTTAAAGTNGACTCACCTTCAACGGTCCGGCATTTACCTGACTCACCTTCAACGGTCCGGCATTTACCTGACTCACCTTCAACGGTCCGGCATTTACCTGACTCACCTTCAACGGTCCGGCATTTACCTGACTCACCTTCAACGGTCCGGCATTTACCTGACTCACCTTCAACGGTCCGGCATTTACCTGACTCACCTTCAACGGTCCGGCATTTACCTGACTCACCTTCAACGGTCCGGCATTTACCTGACTCACCTTCAACGGTCCGGCATTTACCTGACTCACCTTCAACGGTCCGGCATTTACCTGACTCACCTTCAACGGTCCGGCATTTACCTGACTCACCTTCAACGGTCCGGCATTTACCTGACTCACCTTCAACGGTCCGGCATTTACCTGACTCACCTTCAACGGTCCGGCATTTACCTGACTCACCTTCAACGGTCCGGCATTTACCTGACTCACCTTCAACGGTCCGGCATTTACCTGACTCACCTTCAACGGTCCGGCATTTACCTGACTCACCTTCAACGGTCCGGCATTTACCTGACTCACCTTCAACGGTCCGGCATTTACCTGACTCACCTTCAACGGTCCGGCATTTACCTGACTCACCTTCAACGGTCCGGCATTTACCTGACTCACCTTTGGGGTCGCCTGTGGTGCCACTCGTGTAGAGGATGAGGGCGCTGCGGTCCGCGGGCACGCGTCCAAAAGAGGACCTGGTACAGGACTCCTGGTGGGGCTGGCCGGCGATGTCACATCGCGACGTGTCGCTTAAGACGACCGTCTGCCAAACGCATGCAAAATTATACACTAAATAAAAATTTTTAGATAAAAATTGTGTACGCTTTGATGATGTTATTCACAAGCGCATGCAAAATTATACATTACATATATAATTTTAGATAAAAATTGTGTACGCTTTGATGATGTTGTTCACAAGCTGGGATAAACTGCCGCACTTGTGGCTGATCTACAGTATTTTTTATAGGAGAAAAGGATGTATGTAATATAATACAATAATATAAATATAATATAATAAAAGGATGTATAATATATAATACATTTATATTATGAAGACACTATTTGTACTATGAGGAAGAATCTTATTGTTTCACGTTGAAATGGGCAGCAAGATAAAAAACTTTTAAACCCTCTATCAATGAGCAGAAGTGATTATTTAAATTTATTTACAACTATACGAGCAAAGCTGTGCATAGAACAAAAACAGCGAGTGTCCATTTCACGGCCGTCAGTGAAGTGGTACAAATAATTTTCGAGAACCTTTCAAAAATTATGAAAAAGGTATAATATAAACACACAGATACATGGTACAGTAAAATTCTCATAAAAATGAATAAGAAAAAAAAAATATTAACACTTATTCTATGGTTTTCAAACCATGGAACACTTATACGGTACGTTTTTCGGACACGGATACATAGAACCGTGAAATTCTCATAAAAATGAATAAGAAAAAAATTTAGGACTATAGCCCGATAATACCTGTATGTTGGGGATGTCAGGCAGCAGTTGCTGCAGAGAAGGGCAGCAGAGGACGGCTGCAGCACAGCTGTCCTGCAGGAAGTACTGCAGCTGTAGCTGCGGGTGTTGGGGGCATAGCGGCACAGCTGTAAAGTATACAGAAATACGTTAAAGTGTTTCATACCTTCTTGCCGATCTGCATTCCTAATCGGTAAATATTGAAGTCTGAAAGCAAGATCTTGATCATTCATCGTTATATAGCGAATTATGAAGATCCTTGCCGATATTCATTCCTAATCGGTGAATATTGAAGTCTGAAAGTAAGGTCTTGATCGTTAAATATTAAAGTCGTTAATTTTACTTTTTATTTAAAGTTTATTTCGAGTTTAGTTGTTCAGAAGACAGTGGACATCGCGAGACTTCCCACCGATATGACCAGTCATCCAGACGGCCAACATGACGACATTTTCATGAAACAAGATGAATATTGCAACACGTGCAACATGTATATAAAACAAGTTTCAACTTCATAACGTTCTTAGTTTTTTATTTATTAACAAATTAAAAGGGTTACTTAATTCTGAAACACCCTGTATATTGATTGCACCTAAGATCGACTTCATCTTAATTCGTATTGTATTTCATTCATTATACAGGTGCAACATACGGTTATCTACACTTGAATACACTTTCCTAACACTCGTCTCTCTCGATTAATTTTCGTCTAAATCCCTCTTCGCGTTTAACTTAATTAGCTTATAGCGGTGCTGAACCAACATACCGCTATAGATCATTACTAAATATTATACTAAAAATGTCCTTATATTTCCTAATTATTTAATCTCATCAAAATAATTCACCAATTAAATGCGATATTATGACAGATTTATATAAGAAAGAAAATGATGAAGCCAGCACCATGCCCTCGGCGCCCGGCGTGACGACGCTAGCCGCCTCGTCGCCCTCGCACAGCACGCGTCCTCCTGACACGATGCGCACCCTCACCCCCGGCAGCGGGGTGCCCACGTACCCTGTCATCATGGGCATAATCAATATATTTTTTAAATGAACCTTGGGAACGGAAATTTAACCGATGTAGAACAAAAACATGGAGCTTTTCATTGCGATTAAAATGGGGAAGAAAATAAAATGAATTTAAATGATTAATCTCGACAAATCAAATCGTGGAATACAATCATTTGATGGAAAAATTACCATTTAACATATAAATAAATTCATTAGGTTCATTTTGATTACTTGCAGCTTAATATTAATAAATAGCCACAATTCAAATTCTTCGTCAGATGAAAAATTCCCGCCATTTGATATTTTATATATCAAGCGCCATAAAGAATTTTGCAAGCTTTGTAACTTTCTTACGAATAAAAAAAAGTCTACGAGAACAATACTTAATATCATATTACAGTTATAATGCGTAGAAAAGTCACAATTGTCAAATTTATTGTTGTGTTATTGACACAAACCTGCGCGCCAAGATTTGTCTGTAGGAGTGCTGGCCCAGAACGTCGCAGACGGCGATGCGGTTGCCATGGTCGCTCGCTCCGCGGTAGGGAGCATCGAGGACTTCAGCGCTGCTGCTCGTCATCAAGGCTTGGCGGTAACTCGATGTCGAAGTTCGGTGCCCAATAGTCGTCGAAGTTTGGCGGCCACTCGACAATGAGGCTTGGCGGCCATTCGACAATGAGGCTTGGTGGTCACTCGACGTCCAAGTTCGGTGGCCAATCGTAGTCAAAGTTCGGTGGCCAATAGTCGTCGAAGTTTGGCGGCCACTCGAAGTCAACAATTGGCACGGCGGCCGCAACACATCAACATGACTGCTGCTATGTAGACTCCGTGACAAAGATTGATGCGATAAACAAAACAAGGAGCAATATCCGGAGCGAACCAAACCTTCAGTACCAAAGGGCACGAGAAGATTCGTTGATGCATTGCTTCTAAATCCCGTGGGTAAATTACAGTGTAATAGTGAACCATAAAGCGGTTTAGACACAAGGTCTAGATATGGTCTGGCATAATGTTTATATCTAACAGCGTGAACAGAGTGTGCGCCGCTAGTTAATCTTGCAGAGTGAGCTTCCCGAGATATGTGCCGCGTCAGGGCAGAGTGACTGACCGTGCCCAGAAGCAACTGAAGGTTGCCCCTCAGGGAAGTCATTTTTTGTTAGAGAAACAGTTTGAAACAATATTTAATAAATCTGGAATATGCATCACGCGTACAAATGAATATCAAAAATTATACATCGCATAATTTTTCAATATTTTGATTGAAATTGAAACTTTTTCAGAACATAGGACTGGTAAAATAATTTTGCTTGAGAAGAAGCATAAGATAGGAAAATATTCAGCAACGACTAGTGATGGCAGGACTCTATGGCCAGGCTGCCATAGAGAGGAAGATCCTTATATGAATAAGAAGCTATCGCTATTGCAGTTAAAAAATATCATAGCAGCAGTCTCGGGTAAAGTTGTGAGCCAACGACGTAAATTGCCTGCTAGGACATAAGAGTAAAATGCGGCAGTGTTTCAAGCGTGTACGTCCACTACGAGGTGCAAGATACAATTATTACTAATTTCTCGCATCAAAATCGTTCATCACCCAGAAGGAGCCTACGGTTTCAAATCTCCGGCCTACTGAAGGCAGCAAGCAAGAAGCAGCGTTAGCATCTCAAAGAGACGAAGTGACAGGGAGGGACAGGTGACAAGCAACAGAAACTAAGACACTCGAACAAGAGGTCGCTTACACGGGACGTCGGCCGCCCGCATGAGAGAGACAGAGGAGGGAAACGTAAGGAATCCTAACTACATAATAACTTAATGTAAGGAATCCTACCTACACAATAAGTTAACCCCACAACTGAGGCCTGCAGTCAGACACCGCGAGCTCAACGGTGGGGCGCTCAGGAACAATCCCCCTAGGAGCGCGGAATCCCATAGGACTTCTGACGAGCACAGACACGCTTATTTCAGGGGGCACATGCCCAGAAGTGCCCCCTGAAGAGGGATGCTTGTAAAAGATGTCGGATACAGAGACGCTTGCAAAAGAGTTCAAGAACGAAGATTCTTGTACAAGATGTCAGAAAGAAGTATACACGTATAATATGCCAGAAACGGTGATGCGAGTAAACAGAAGTCAGGAGAGAAGATGCTTGTCAAGAAATAAGTGAGATAAGGGAGGTTATGGCGAATATTTTTTTTGTGATAAGACGATTCTGTGCTACTGGCTTCGGGACGAAACTCGTTTGAAGATGCAACACTGCAGTAAATTATTTGTTCATAACACTGCTGCTAGGGAGACCCAGAGATCGCAGGTGGCCTCTTCAGACACAACTCACACAAGCCGTACTAATACAGGTTTGTAGTCAACTGGGTCCTCATTATACATTATATCCATCCAAAATACACGCTAGTAGTAAGATAATTGGACCACAGCTGTCTGGTGTGTCTGTCCCTGGGGCTGAACTCGAGGAAAATGCCTCGCTTCTTTCGAGGAAACATTTAATTTAAGTAAGTACAAAGGTTATATTAATATGTACGTAAGAAAACTAGCATGTATTACCCAGCGACCAGTTATTTCCATAAAGCCTGTAGAAGTCAGAACCATAGCCAATTAAACGCTGCTAAAAAGGCCATTTCATCGCCTGGCAATCAGTTCATCAGGTTTACAATCTTTCATTTTGATAAACGTTTAATTGAAACACAACCAGTCATGGTCGAAAACATTTTATTTATTAAAAGACGAGGAGCAGACAAGATCTATCATAAAATTAGGCGACCACACACTTCTTACACTGCGTAGCTTTTAACACCGAGGTTGGAAGACACATAGATCAGGTACCTACAGTTACATGAGATTATCAAAAATTTGTGATAGAAAACAATAACAGCAAAGGCAAGTTTTGAAGAAGACCACAAAAGTTCAACTACATGAAACTCTAACATTACATAGCAGTCGCACCTTCACTACGAATTGTCCGTAATGTCAACTTTTTGAACCCCTTATCAATGGGATTATGAGACTCTAAATCCATAGAACACATTACAAATAGTTCCCTTTCATGCACCACTTTTCATAAATACATCACGATATGCTTGGCACATTCTTCGTCACAAGACCATCTACGATGTCTATGACCAATAACAAACGCGAGAGATCGCATAGGAATAACTTGTAAATTTAGCAAATGCACTGAGACGCTGAATGATGTCGAAGTTATATCCACGTAACTGATAAGCTATCGCTATGATAATCCGCAATCAGTGGCTATATACAAACTTCTGATAATTGCAAGCAGTCAAAGGCTACACAAGCTCTAGATTTAGTTCACTCATTGGAACCACTCAGAAAGCGGACATAAATAAACAAGTTTATTCTAACAATCATCTGGAAATTTTTTCTAACAATACAACGTGTACGGAAGCTAATTTCAACACGGGATTTTCATTGATAGCGTCTTGTGCTTCACTAAAGAACAATTTCTAGAAGAACCAACTGGGTATTAAGTTATGTATTTTTGCAGCTGTCCAATAATTAATAAAAATAATAATGTCTAGTTGAGCTTAGGTCTAGGTTATAACTAAACACTTACCAGAAACTAATTACACAACTGAAATAACAACTGCAGTACAACAAGATACTTATTAGATCACTAACAACACAACTAAAGGAGTAAAACAAAGAAGTAATTAGATCAATAACAACGCGTTCTCACTAACAAAGTTAAGTAACAATAAGATTTGATCATCCTTAACTAATTGAATTCCAGGCAACGTTACCTTTGGAGAATATACAATGAGACTTGCTAATTGTTGCTTTATTACATGGAATGCCACATAAGAATATTAATTACATTATTATCACTCTGGTGTAAATACCATATGGACGGAAGGTCAATATAAGAGATGGAAATATGATTAGATATTAAATATAATAACGACAGCTTATCTAGTCCTTAAAAAACAATAATGAACAGTAAATACTTCAAGGACGAGAAATAAGTCTTAAGGCCCGCTTACACTATGGGCAACATGGGCGGTTAGGCGCTTGCTGCAGCGCCTCACCGCCCACAACCGTTCACACTTATTTTTGTACGCGGTAGCTCGAGACCGCGCGCTTTGAAGAATAGTTGCCAGTTAGACGTCAGTGAGTATGGGTGTATCCCAGTGGTTCCCAAAGTGGGCGATATCACCCCCCTGGGGGCGGTGGAAAGATCTGTGGGGGACTCTAGAAAGATCTGTGTTTAACCTTTCTCTTTCAAAATTGCAGCTAACTAATATCAAGAAGGCGTTTATTTATATGTGTCTGTCAGCAGGGGGGCGCTAGAGATTCACTGGGGAGCCAATAGGGGCGCCAGCCTGAAAAAGTTTGGGAACCACTGGTATATTCGAATTTGAGCTCTAGGCCGTTGTTCTCGGGTGTGCTGCTGTTAAGAAAAGATGTAGGCGTCGCCGTATTTGGGTGAAAAAAATGGTTGCAAAGAAGAGAGGGGGCTGACACAATTACATTTTCAAAAAATTATCAGTTGCGAATGCATCAGACTTTCAAAATTATACTAGACTGCCAGTGGACTTGTTTGACAGCCTGCTAAAGAAAATAATGCCACTCATCCAGAAGCAGGATGATGGAATTGAGATGGATTTCATATGCAATGGAATTCATTTACAATGAAATTTATTTCACGATGGAATTGCAAACGCAACGTATGAATTTTCTTGCGAACCTCGTCAATGGTGACTTGTACACGAAAATTTCTTAAAACTTCAACTAATTTCACCAGAGCTTGTTCTTTTGCATTTCGATTTTTAAACTCTTTTGACTGAACTCTCTACAGGCATTCATGGTCTTTACAAAGATCAATTAGCCTCTCTACTAGAGAGTGAGGCCAAACAAGTGTGGCGTTAGTTGACATAGTGAAAGACCAGCGTATACAGACCACCTCGCTAGACCAGAGACAGCCGTCAACTGAGTGCATCGCTTGAGTGTGTTGCATGAGGCACGGCGCCTGTGAATCGCTAGCTCGTCAATCGCTTCGCTGCCCACAAGACGCGTACGTAGACGCTGCACAGAGGGGCGGTGAGGCGCTTGACGCCCGTGTGTTGCCCCTAGTGTGAACGGGCCTTACCAGGCACTTCAAACATAGATGGAGATATTCTAGCAAAGTGTCAAGTTCTTGAAGAATCTTAATTCCATCTACAAACTTATCATGAAATACTTTATATAGTACATGATATGCTTACAGCAACCATCCGCTTTCAGTACACGTTCTGTTTACAGTTCATTATCTGCTTACAGTACTTATCCGCTTACTGTTCACGATCTGCTATCAGCAATGGTCCGATTTGCATATAGCAATGACACACTTTATATAAAGCACTGCTGCTAATAGAAATTCAATGCTGCCGTTGGATCTCAATGAAAGTCAGGACTGAACAGGACGGGAGTTGCGGGACACATGGTCTTGGGAGTCGTAAGTCAATAATTGATCATGTATGAACGATTGAACGTTGAATTTTAGTGTCAGCTCGAACTTAACTTGGCTAAAATTCGTGCGATTGGTGGTGGCAAGGTGCAAAAAAAATCCCATGTAACAAGTATTGCAGCTGATGAATGGAGTTCTTTAGCACAGCACGTCACGTGATCAGTTGGTATCATCATCAGTGTCACAGTGAGGCAGGAGTTTCTTCAAGGCACTGGCGCGACTAGACACGACAGCGGCGCTGGTGCAGCGCAGCCGCGACTGCATGTGGTTAAGTTTGAGCTGCAGCGTGTCGACCGTGTCCTGAAGCTCGTCCCTTGCACGAGTGAGGCGACGAGCGGCATTATGGGCGGTGTCCAGCTCGTCCTGGGTGCTGGCCAGGTCCTGACGTAGCTTTGTGACCCGCGCCCGTAAACGCTTCACTTCTGCTTCGTATTGCTCGGAACGCCGCACGCTGTGTTCGCACTCGACGGTCTTGCACGAGAGCGCTTTCTTGTACTGACTAACGTAGAGGTTAAGCTCGCATAGCTGTTCACGCAAGCTGCTCACTTCGTCTTGGACAGCGTCGCCACTCTTGCCTGAGCGCCCGTTGTTGCTGCCAGACTTGAGTTGCTCAAGAGGCTTGAGGCGCTCCAGTAGTTCTTCAACCTGAGCCTTGAGAGCCTTGTTGCTGCGCTCCCAGTTCAGGGACTCGGACTCCAGCTGCTCCCGACGACTCCACTCCACCGCGTTCTCCTGCTGGAGCCTTTCGATGTCCGCACGCAGCTCTGCCAGTTTGGCCTCAGCCATCTGACGAGCAGCGGTTTCTTGCACAAGTTGCTGGTGTTGTTGGTGCTGCAGCTGCTGCAGTTGAGAACGTACACATTCCACTTGCTGGATCGCTTCCTGTCTGCTGCAACGGATGTTATGAAGCTCAGCACGCAGTTCCGCAGCCTCTGTCTGATAGCGAGCAGCAGATGTGCCCAAGTCGCAGCGCTCTTCTCTCTCAAGCTGCAGGGCGCGCGCAGCCTCGTGCAGCTGCATGCGCAGCAAACAAACCTGCCTAGTGAGGCTGCCAGTCAAGTCTGCAGCAGCTGCAGCAGCCGCAGCGTCTTGGATGCCCGGCATCTTATTACACCAGCAACACAAACCTGTAGGAGGATCAGCCGAGTTGTTGGGGGACGAGCGAGGGGCGCTGTTCCCACGTCCAGACTTGCCACACGCGCCATCAAAACCTGACTTCCTTAACACTGTCTCGTGAGTGACGACGTCTTCTGGGGAGGTGGGCTCGTCAGAGCAATGAAATCCTTCATAGGAATTTGAATTGGATGGCACGAGACGTGCATCTGTGTTCCCAGAATGCGGTCGCTGTGAATCAAAACCAGAATCCGTGTTTTGGCCTTCGCTCTGGAGGGAAGAATCTTCGTTGGCCCCCATGCACGAGGCAGGACTAGTCCAGGCTTTGCTAAGGAAATGTTGAGCGATGAGTTGCTTCACTTGCTCGCTCGGCGTCTGGCGCGAGTTGATGGCCGCGGCCATGGCCACCGCCGCACTGCCCTCTTCAGGAGACAAGCTCAGGCCCTCCAAGCCCACCCCGTAACCAAACAACTCTTCGAGCAACGAAACTGACGCTGCAGCCGACGAGACGTGGCTCACGTCAGTATTTGATGTGTTACCTTCCACTAGGTGTGGTGTCGTGGGGGGAGGAGGAGGAGTTAAGTTGAGAGAGTGACGACGCCTCTCATTAGAAGTCATGGGATTATTGCCTTCTGCCATGACATGTGCCCGCGACTCGTCATCCCCAGAGCTGCTCTCCATGTTTGCGTTATCCTCATCTTCTTCTTGCTGCTGCTGCTGCTCATTTGACATGCGCCGTTGCTGGACGACGCTGCACTGGTTGCTGAGGTCAGCTCTGCTGCTGGTGAGGCCGTACGCAAGCTTCTCAACGAGCTGACCGGATTCTGGTTCACCTTCAGTCTTGTGCTCCTGTTGGTAGTACTCACGCTGCTGCTGCCGGCGCAGCTGAGACGCGGCTACCGACGACACGTCGCGTTCAGGAGACTCGTCGGCGAGACCCTGACAACAAAGCAAGCTTCTTCATTCTTCATAACAGCGAAGCAAGAATTTATATGAGTAATTAATATGAATTTGCATTTATTTCATCTCCAGTCATTTTATTTTATTTGATGCCTTTTTACATACGTGACTTCGAGAAATTTACACAGATTTATCTCAGAAAGAAATATATAGGGAAAAGAAGTTGACATTTTTTGCCGTAGTCTGAGAGGAATAGAACTGTCACCTCCTAAAATCACAGCAATGCAAAAATGTAATAAGAACTATTCATGTAATTAAAAAGTCACACAATCGTTATTCATGCACGTAGGATACGGCACCATTAGGATAACTTGCAGCATTGATGTGCTATTACCTGAAAACTACAGTGTAATATCTATTATATCCACATGGTTCAATGCAAGTTAGAGTTCAATCGTAAAGGTCGTTAGGATTTACAATATTTCACTTGACATTGTATTTAAGCAGTAAACATATTGAATTCCGGTACGAGCTCACCAAATAGCAATTTCTTTGAACTTCGGTAACATTCTCATTCAGTACTATATAGACTGAATAACTACACTTAAAACAAAATACGACTCATTTTACGAACGCTTTCACGTAACTGGCATTTAAGCTGACGTATTATGAATACAAAGACCTGAAGACTGACCACACATGCACTACAGAGGTCACTAGCGTGACAAAACCCTTAATTGTGAGGTAATCTCTAAAATAAATTAGTGAGGGTAGTAAAATTTAATTACTAAATAGAGGAACAGACCAAAATAAATCAAAACATGATACAGAATTAGGTATACAAAGGAATGAATAAATGAAAAGGATCGATCCAACCTTCTTCCACAACTATGAAGAAAATTTGTTTTCCTATCTCAACTACGTTACCGTACAGTAATTCTGCAAGGCATTACTGTACATTGTTTTCATTCGAAATTAGGCCTGGAAAACTATAAAACGCGCTAAAAGATGAAATGAAGTAATATTGTGTTTCATCACTCGTACACATAAATTTCAGCTTTTTAAAACATTTAATTCATTTGTTATAGCGCCTTCTTGGAAGCTCGCGACAGACTGATAGACTTACTTCATACTAGGCTTTACTTTAGTTGCGTTGCTAAACAATCTTCAAGCCAACCCTAAATGTCCAAGTAATTTTAACAGAACTCACTGAAACTGAACTTAACTGAAGGGTAAACTAAACTAAACTGAAGTGTAAACCCAAAAAGTCAAATAATTGGCAATCGCAATTTTTCTCACAGAGAGTTCTTTAGAACACGAAACCTATTAGTTAGCTTCCTCGGCATGAACATTCAGTTAACGTTAGCACAGGCTGGTAAAGGTTGACACTCTTAAATCTTTTTCCAATCGAATAAGTAGAAAAATTTGCACTTAAACTACATAAGAAAGTTTTAAGAAATTATTCAAGAAGGCTTGAGGGATTTCCTAGGAGCTCAAAATGCGCTGCTTCCATCCAGGGCTGTAAACCCAAATACAAGGCTCAAAAAATTCCCATAAAATTAAGCCAAGATTATGGCATTATATAAACTAGGTTTGAAACGATGGTGAATAAGATTTCTTCTTTGGTTCTGAACCCTTGACCAAATAAGTGAAGAAAGAAGGATTAAAATTTTCCCACAGAAAAATACAATCTTCAAAATAGAGCTAATTACAAACTAAATATTTTTTATTTTACATATTCTAATGCTCGTAACCAGCAGCATGAATCAGCGTTCACTATAATGTCAGAACTTACTATTAAGCATCTTTCTTCTGTTCCACCTTCCCCAACAGACAACCACTCTTAAAACCCGCTTTAAAATAGCTCTACACCAAGACTATCTTGGCCATACGGTACTGCAGTCTGCGGTACCTAATAAACAACAAATCTACTTTGGCCATGAGGTTCTATCGTCTACAGAAGATAGCTTCACTTAACAAGAATACCTTAGCCATGAGGTTCTATCGTCTACAGAAGATAGCTTCACTTGACAAGAATACCTTAGCCATGAGGCTCTATAGTCTACAGAAGATAGCTTCACTTAACAAGAATACCTTGGCCATGAGGTTCTATAGTCTACAGAAGATAGCTTCACTAAACAAGAATACCTTGGCCATGAGGCTCTATAGTCTACAAAAGATAGCTTCACTTAACAAGAATACCTTGGCCATGAGGTTCTATAGTCTACAGAAGATAGCTGCGCCTTCAAGCCGCATCCTCAGGAGTCGCACCTCCTCCCGAGCTCTGTTTCGCTCACTGCGAACCTGCCACAGAAGCCTCATATTGAGTCCAATGCAGTGCTTAGCATTTCAAAAACAATATAAACTAATAATCTAATCAATATAATTTAGAGCACTTCTGAAACATGGAAAATTACATGTCATCAAAATATAGAAACAAATTATGGCTTATAATGATTTTTTGGAATAAGTGCTATATTTTTAAACTTGATGATGGTTTTTCCCAAGTTTTTATCCACAATTATAAAATAAAAATTAATTTGATGCCTCAATTCACACTAGCCATCTTATGCACTAGCTTGTGACGTTATTAACTTCCCATAATAGGTACCTACAGCCCCAGCAGGCCGCGTATGTAATACCAACCTTACTCCACTTCTCACGCCAGTTGGCAGTGCAGTCACTCCACCAGCGCATGGTCTTCTCCATCTGAACTGCCCTGGCCCTGGCCTCCTCCAGCTCCCTCTGCACCACCTCCTGCAAAAGTAGCCACGATGCACCAACAACTTCAATGCATCACACGTGTATTGCATAAAAAAGTAATGCATTTCACAAAAATGATGCATCAACAAGATGAATGCATCACACAAAATTGTTGCAACAACTTCTATGTGTAACACAGATTGATGTCAATACAACTCTGCAGTAATAGACTTCAAAAAGTAATCTATCCAGGGGTCCATACCTAAAAAATGGTTAAAGATTTATAACCAAAAGTTTGCATTACTTTATTATTGTTGTCCATTTTGTTCTATAATTCCAATGATAATTGAGCATGATCATTGTTTAATCCCCTTACATAAAAATGATAGATTTAAATTGAGTTTTTAACTCTTAAAAAATACAAGCAAAAGAGAATAAAAACAATCAATGCTATATCTGATGTTTAGCCACACGGGAGCAGTACATCATATTTAGCCAGACATCATTAGAAACAGGTAATAGTGTACCTGTTCTTGTTGACACAAGAGAGATGGCAATAGCACATCAACAGGTACATAATACTGTATATACCTGTTTGTCCAGCCACAAGTAAGGTGGAATGTTGATCTCATGGCTGGGAGTAGGGGTGTGAGTAGCTGAAGGAGCTGGAGTGGAAGGGAGCCCTCCTTGCCTTCTGCCACTCATGTTTGTAGTACCACTTGAAATATTATCAAGGCTTCAGCATTGCGTTGCATTTGCCAACATCTAAAGGGCGAGAACTGTGAGGATTGTTGATGAGGATTAAGAGAACATTGACAAAAAAAAGCAAAATATCAAGTTAGTTCAAGTTATAAAAAGCATCTCTCATGAAATTTGCAAGCTACTATATATAGCAATTGCAAGCTATAAGACAAAATCTGAATTAAATACTAATGTTTAATATCAATATAGCACAAAAGAACAAACATGGGCAACAGATCCTCAAAGTGAGGCTCACACTCACATTGATGATGATGCAGTCTGAAGATCATCATTAGTGGTTCTATGTTAGCTGATAGTGACACCATGACATTAATGATTACGTAATATATATATAATATGTTCAAATAATAATAATGATATTTATCACCTAGAATACTAGAATGACTTTATAAACAATGAAAAAGAGTATGCAAAAACAAAAAATACGAATTCATAAGAAATCTGAAAATTAAAAATAGTAAATAGATTTTTATGCATACTTCAACATAATGCAATCCAGTTGCACATATAACAAACATCAAATTTATAAACATTGCAATGGACACCAGGAAAATGCATTAACATTTTTTTAAAGTCTACTGTCTACACTGCAAATTAATTTTACAAATTTACATCAAACAATTTCATTCGAGTTCCAACTTGACATCACTATGCAGAGTATGGCAATCTAGTCACCATTCACCAATATCAGGTTTTTGGCCCAAAATATTGCCAGTATCATTAAGTATATCACCAGAAGACAAAAGAACACAAACCTCCTCATTGACCATTGTCTGTCTAGGCATCAGGCAAAATCGTCTCAATACAAATATTTTGATACCGAAGCCTGCTGCTAGCCTGGTGGCACAGGCCTAGCGCTGCTGGCATTGGGAGCCTAGGACAGTGTCACTGTATCATAGTTGCAAACTGGCAAACCAGAAATTTTTTAGAATCATTTCATTCTCAATTTCCTCATATACTCAAGAATTAAACCAGATTCTTATGTATGATAATGCTGGTATCCATGATACTTTGCTGGTCTACTTGACTCAAAAATGAACTTGAGGGAGAATCTAAAAAAACTCTCTGCTTTGCCACTATGCAGCCTGTGTCACCATTTCTGACTGGGTCACTAAGGATCTTCTGATATTTGCTTGCTCTCCGCACCCTTTGGCTGACCCCAACACAAGATTAAAATGCCAAAAGATTCCTTTGTTTTCCAATGCCAAAATCATTTATATGGTTTAAAAAATATGATTTATTTATATTGTAGAGAATGCAAAAGTCAGTTGTGTTGGCTCAAGAACCAAACTCATGACTTGAAATCCATTTTAATTTGACAAACTGATTTGTCTAAAACTAGTCACTGATAAGATGACACACTTAGACAAATCCAACGCATCCAAAAAGAGATGCACTTTTTAGAAGTTTTTAACAGTTTTACTCACTTGTGCTCATAGTAGCAAACCAGATATTTTTAAATATCAGCTTATTTTTAATTACCTCCTCTACTCAAGATTTAAACCAAAATCTTATGTGTGATGATGCTGGTAACTTTATTCACTGGGCAGGGTGGCCCATTGGTTAAAGATGAGTACCAAGATTGGAGCAGAGAGGTTCAACCCCAGCCCTATGCACCAGTTTGTGGTCAGAATCAGCAAGGAGGCCAGGCAGTTAAGCAGTGAAAATTTGAAGCAGTAAGTTGCAGGTTCAAGCCCAGAACATGCTGTGGATGTTCTGCAATGTTAAAAATCGGTAACAGGCCTATGGCCTAATAAACGCTAAAACTGCTATGTGTTGAAGTATTATATATATATTCTCAAACTCAAATAGAACTGCAGTGTTATCTATTGGTATGTCAATGTAAGCCTGGCAAGCCTTTGCCGATCAGTTGTGTTTCACATTCAGCCTAATACAGTTCCAGAATCTTAAGTCTCATCTCTGCCCTCCTTCCGCCTTAGAATGGTCTCAGAAGTCAAATATTTGACTAGTGAACATAGCAGTAACCATGATACATCACTGGTCTATAATAGGACCCAAAAATGAACTCAAGGAAGAGTCTGAATAAGTGTCTGCTTAGCCACCATGCTTGCGGTCATTTGGATTAATAACCTATATTTTTATATTCTCACTGACCTAATTAGACACTTTAAATTTCTGGTATGACTCATTTGTGATGTCAAATTGCATGTGATGCCACCAGTAGGAGCACTAGGGTGGCTACATAGGGTAGGCTGTAAAATAGGGCATTTTAGCTCAAGATACTGGTATCTTACAAAAATCTTCATCAGCCACCTTGACGGTTTGACCTTATATTGGCTTCAGATGGAAACTGATCATTTTTCATAGAGTTGAAATTGCTGTCTTCATCTACAAGACCATCCTTGGAATAAAATGGTAATGCCTGGAGTAGAGAATGAGCAGTATTATGTCAAAGTTTCTATTCACATCACTTTTGATACAATACCAAAAGACATGCAAAAACTTGTGAATTGCAACTTTGTAGGTATAGTAACTCCCTTCACTGGACATTCTTCATTTTAGGGCATTTTCTCATTTATGGAAAAAATGTCCCATTGTGCTTGTCATGTCCTTCTGTCAGTCTGTCCCTCCATGACTCCACATTTTTGTCAATTTTGAGAAAATGTGCTGTCACTCAATGCAGTGAGTACTGAGTTATATTTTTTCAGGACATCCACATTGAGTGAACTGAAAGCCACAGGACAATCGCAACATCCACAAGGATGACTGTTGGGCCTGAGAGCTAAGGTTGTGTTGGACTTCTTGGCATGGAAAACAGGCAATTTTTTCCTCATTTGTACAAGGTCAGTAGACATGATGGCTGAGCATGACTGCATGTAAGAGAAAAGTTACACATGACATGGCAGAAGAAAAATCAGTAAGGACTGTGGCTCTTCAGAACTGAGAATAAGATCAGGAATTTAAAAGCAAAGAAAACAGCCAGAATATTAACCATTTCTTAAGAATGAAAACATTTTGGAGTCCTTCAAAAGTTCAAAACCTATAAGAAAAGCAGAATTAATTAGAAAACAAAATAAACATCAATGATAAAAACATAAATTGACAAAATAAAAACAGGTACACATAAGCCCTATCTATTTACAATTTCAATGGGATAGGAGCTGAAGGCTGCATTTAAGGGGATCGACCTGGCATTTTGAAAACTTCTACAGTTATTATCCGATTGTCATGAAACTTCACATACATACGTAAAATGTGAAAATAAAAACATTTTGCTCATATGAATTTTTCGAAAAAATTGATAGTAAGATTTACGTCTCGTTTCTTTTGACACCAGTGTTATATATATTATTGGTGATATGCTATTGCAGTGTCTGCTTCTCAAATTACGGAATCGCCCGATTCTCCGCCGCATTCGATCGATCCATTATTCGCCACATATGCTCCGCACTTCAGCGTCTTCAGCTACTTCAGCGCCTTCAGCTTTTAAGTGTGACCCCCAACTTCAGATGTTGCAGGTGGGGCTGAGCCTGGTGGGCCAATTCCGACGCAGCAAGGCTACCAGAGTCAGCCATTCCAAAAAATCACCAGGCAACCAAGCCTATTTACAAATAAGTGAGGAGCAAAAGCAGGAAGGAGAATAAAAAAGGACCAAAAGAGCAAACAACAGAACCAGCAGCAGCAAAACGGCCAAAACCCAAAGGGAGAAAGCCAGCTGTGTTTTAAACGAGTTTAATTATCAATATGTTATATTCTGAAACATACGTCGCAAATACTGTCGAAAAATGAATTCTTGAGAGCATTAATCACAAACGTGCTTTCGCCACGTCGGCCACGAACGCAACTGACTTTCTCCCGAGGGCGCTGAAGCGCAGAACTGCCAGAACACGTGGCGAACAATGGATCGGGCGAATTTGGCGGAGGCCGGAGAATAAGGCGATTCCGTAATTTCAGAAAGTGACACTGTTATAGAATGTCACTATTATCAAAAGCATGGTTCAACCGTATAAGATTGACCCATCACAAGCCCATTTTTGAGGATGTAGCTCGTTATTCGCCTGTAACGTCACTGATCTCATTGACGTTGTGTGTTAACTGGTAAGTGCCAGTCATTACCCACACAGCAAGCCAACAAGATTGTAAACGAAAGAGACTGGAACTAATATTTTACTGCAAGGCAAATTAACCACAAGGTGGGCTTTGAACATAAGTATCAAGATGGAAAAATAGTGTAAAGAATAATACCCTTGTCAACGTGCGTATCTGTTGAAGATTAAATCCAATAAATGATCGTCGTTGAAGATGAATAAAGAAATAATAATACAATATAACAATTATTCAGACAATAAAAATGAACCTATTAGAGCCTAAACTGACCTGCAGCGGGGATCAGCCGAACGATAATGACTAACGAGAAAATTCTGTGCGCGACGTTAACTTCCTAACGGTGTTGCCAAGGTAAAGGTAAATTATAATTTTATTACAAAATAAAAGTCCCAAAATGGCTAACACTAAAACGTCACGGGCATTAAGTGATTAACCAATCACAGAAATGCGATCAAACCAATCGACAAATCCGTCATGGGAATGACGGGTTTGTTTACGTTTCTCGATCTACGTGACGTAACAAGAAAGCTGAACTGATAGACGGAACTTCTCGTGGGTCAACCTTATATAGTTCAACCATGTATCGATAGTGTCAAAAAAATCAAACGCTTTCATACGGAACGGATTTCATTCAAATTTGAAAAATAAGTAGATATTATCAATGCGCTGTGGAGGTATTTATTTCAGATTTTTACATCAATTACTTTGTTATTAATATGGGAAACCTCACTTTATGTTCAATTCACCCAGCCATAAATTAATCAATACTGAACGGATTTCATTCAAATTTCAAAAATAAGTAGATATTATCAATGCGCTGTGGAGGTATTCATTTCAGATTTTTACATCAATTTGTTTTTTATTAATACGGAAAAACTAATTTTATGTTCAACGCCCCCAGCCATAAATCCATATATACTGATCGCATTTCATTCAAATTTGAAAAATGAGTAGATATTATCAATGCGCTGTAGAGGTATTTATTTCAGATTTTTACATCACATTTTTTCATTAATACGGAAAACCTAACTTCATGTTCAATTCCCCCGGCTTAAATCCATCAATACTGAACGGATTCCATTCAAATTCGAAAAAATAATTAGATATTATCAATGCGCTGTGGAGGTATTTAATACAGATTCTCACATCAATTAGTTTATTATTAATACGGAAAACCTAACTTCACGTTCACCTTGCAGTTTGGGTCCAAGTCAGGTCAAGTCTCAGTATTTTGTGGCATTAAAAAAACGGAACTATGCTGTCTTAACCTAACCTGCGAGTTGGCGTTTTTTAGCTATGAATTTTTGAAAAAAACGGGTAGTATTTGTTAACTCAGGCTGGGTGAG